CACCTCCTCCTGAAGCCTCCCTGGGCCCTGGTGAGGTCAGGTGACTAGGCTGGGTTCCCACAGCTGCCTGTGTGCGTGTTGGCCTCTGCTGCGCCTGCCGTGTCCTCAGAGTTTCACAAATCTCTGAGTCTGGTACTGTGACTGTGCCCATTTTCCAAATTAAGGAATTGAGGCTCCAAAAAATGAAGTTTCCTCCTGCCATGACTGATGTGGGTTCACCGCCCTCAGGGCAGCCGCAGACCAGGCCATCCCCTCCCCCCCACACACGCACATACACGCGTGCACATAGCCCTCAACTGGAGTTTATATCTGCAGACGCCTGCCTCCCACACACAGGCTGTCAGCCAGCAGGTGGCTGCTGGGCCGCCACTTGTAAATACATCCTCCTGCTGAGGCCCACTTGCTCCTTTGCTCAGCGGGAAGGAAGATGAGGGGAACTGGGCAACAGAGCGAAGAACTGAAGTTGTTTTAGGACCTTCCCACCCCACTTTCATTTCGCCTCCCTGCGAGCAGGGGGCAGGAGAGGGGTCTCTGGGGCACTGTGACTCTGACTTCAGGTTGAGCCAGCGACCTCAGAGATGATGACAGCCCCCCCACCCTCAGTGTCCTTGGGAAAGTTATGTGAGGCCTCCTGGCCTGGCCCCCATTGGCAGCTCCAGCAAGGTTCGACCCCCCTCATGCTGTCCCACTCTGGGTCTGCCCACCCACTCTCTTCCTTAAGCGGCCTTGGGAGGAGTCTCGCCTCATAGACAAGATGGGCTGGGGACAGATGGATTGAGGGCATGTGGGATTTACGACTGGGCTTGGGGCATGAGAATGGGGGTTGTTATGGCCACCACCACCACCACTGGTCCCCCAAAGTGCCTGGGCAGTGGGGAAGCCTCCAGGCCAGGGGCTCCTGGAGGCTCCCAGAGAAAACCCTCCCTTCCTCATCCTCCTCTCCACCATGAGGTCCCATTGTGCAGGGATGAGGCAGAGGCCAGATGGGAATTGTTTTCTCTGGGTCACACAGCCAGGCAGGGTGCAAGGCATAATTTTGGGGTGCCGGTGATGCTGGATGGGTTTTGGGTCTGTGGTAACTTGGACTCTTCCCCACAAGCAGATCTCGCCTGCTCCTGCCACCCATTCCAGGGAGAGAGGTCGATTGTGGGCCAGCTGTGGGCGACGCACGCCCCCTGCTGTACATGGTCGGAGTCGGCAGAGCCATGACCCCAAGACTTGGGCTGAGGCCCTAATTCTGAGCTGAGCGTCTAAGTCCAAATAGAGCCCCTGGTATGTTCTTCATTAGGCTCAGGAGCCCCCCAGTTCCCTGCCCAGCTGGGGAAACCCTAAGGATGTCCAGGCCACTCAGAAGACCTGTATACATTACACCCAACTCAGACTGTCCCAGGTTCTAATCCCACCTCTGTCACAACCTGGCTGAGGTTATTTTCTTCTTCTGAGTCTCAATTTCATCATCTGTGAAATGGAACACTTGTAGCCCCTGGCAGGGTTGGTGAGTTAATTTATGTAAAGTGCTGGTAGTGACTGGCACATAATAGGTGCTCAATAAATATTAGCTATACTACTGTTGCTATTATAACCAGATGTGCTAGGGCACTTTCTAAAAACAGTTTTATTGAGACATAATTCATATACCATGCAATTCACCCATCTAAAGTATACAATTCAGTGTTTAGATATATTGCATTATTCATTTCTAAAATTGTGGTAAATATATAACATAATGTTTATCACTTTAAACATTTTTAAGCCCTGGCTGGTTTTGTTCAATGGTTAGAGCGTTGGCCCGTGAACCTTAGAGTTCTGGGTTAGATTCCTGGTCAAGGGCACGTACCTAGGTTGCAGGTTCAATCCCCAGCCTAGGATCAAGCAGGAGGCAACCAATCGATGTGTCTCTCTCACATTTATGTTTCTCTCTCTCTCTTTCCCTCCTTCCCACTCTATCTAAAAATCAATGGAAAAATATCCTCAGATGAGGATTAAAAAATGAATAATAATAATAAACATTTAAGTGTACAGTTCAGTGGTATTAAATACATTCATATTGTTGTGTAACTGTCACCACCATTCATCTCCAGAACTTTCCCATCTTCCCAAACTAAAAATCAAAATTACACACTAACTCCCCAACCTCTTCCCCAGCCCCTGGCTCCCACCACCTATCTATGAATTTGACTCCTCTAGGGACCTCCTGTGAGTGGAACCACACAATATTTGTTCTTTTGTGTCTGGCTTATTTCACTCAGCATAATGTCCTCAAGGTTTATCCATGTTGCAGCATGTCATAATTTTCTTTCTTCTTAAGGCTAAATAATATTCCATTGTTTGGATGGACCACATTGTCTTTATCCATCATCTGTTGATGGACACAGGTTGCTTCCATCTTTTGACTATTGTGAATAATGCTGTTATGAAACTCAAACTCTAACTTTCTGCTTTCAACTTCATTGGGTAGATACCTATGAGTGGAACTGCTCTGTCATATGCTAATTCTATGATTAACTTTTTGAGGACCCAGTGAACTTTTCCACAGCGGCTGTACCATTTTACATTCTCACCACCACCATCAATGTTAAAAGGTTCTAATTTCTTCACATCCTTGTGAGCATTTTTTAAATCCCCACCTGAGGATATGTTTATTAATTCTAGAGAGAGAAGAAGGGAGGGAGAGAGAGAGAGAGAGAAACATTGATGTGAGAGAGAAATGTATAGAGCCATTGCCTTCCATACGCACCCTGACCAGGGATCAAACCTGCAACATAGGTATGTGCCCTGACTGAAATCAAACTTACATTTTATTTATTTATTACTTTTTATTGTTGTTGTTAATCCTCACCTGAGGATATTTTTTCCATTGATCTTTAGAGAGAGTAGAGGGGAGGGGGACAGAGAGAGAAACATCGATGTGAGAGAGACACATTGATTGGTTGTCTCCCACATGCACCCCAATCAGAGCTGGGGATCGAACCTTTGGAACCCAGGTACGTGCTCTTGCCTGGGAATAGAACCCAAGACCCTTTGCTGCTCAGGCTGATGCTCTAACCACTGAGCAACACAGGCCAGGGCCAAACCTGCATTTTTATTCCTTACTTATGGCTTGTAGGCTTTATTGTTGTCATGTCACAGATGTGGAAAACTGAGGCTCACAGAGATGAACACATGTAGGCAGATACTGACAAAGTTGGGACTGAACCCACCTCGGTCACACTCTATACCAGCCGGTGCCCACACAGCACTCACTGAAACAATCTGCTGTGGTTTGATGAGGTGCTAAAAACAGCTCCCTCTGCCTCTGTGACCCCCATTAGCTACCCTGATCCAAAGAAGGGATCTCCATAATTTGGGGCTCAGGGACATGAAGAATTAGATTTAGGTCTCAACCAGGGGCCAGTCTTACCTCCAGGGGACACTTGGCAATGACTGGAGACATTTTTGGTTGACACAACTTAGAGGGGGAGTCTACTTTGGCATTGAGTGGGTAGAAGCCAGAGATGCTGCTCAATATTCCACAGTGCACAGGATGGCCCCCCACCCTCACAAGCAGGAATTATTGACCCCACATGTCTATAGTGCTGAGGCCAAGAAACCCTGGACTAGAGAAAGAATAGGGCTTAGCTGGGGGTAGGAAGAGGTGGAACAAGCAGTCCTGGGTTTTTGTTGTCAATCCTCACCTGAAGATATTTTTCCATTGATTTTTTTTAGATAGAGTGGAAGGGAGGGAGAGAGAAAAAAACATCAATATGAGAGAGACACATCAATTGGTTGCCTCCTGAACCTGCAACCCCAGGTACCTGCCCTTGACCAGGAATCAAACCCTAGACCCTCTGGTCCACGGGGAGGGTCCACAGGCTGAGGCTCTAATCGCTGAGCCAAACTGGCCCGGGCGCAGTCCTGGATTTTGAATCCTGACCCAACCACTTGTGCCGCCATGTCCTCGGGCAGTTCACTTCCCCTCTCCCCTCCAAAATGGGATAAACAGACATTTCATTTATTTGGGCTTCATGAGGTCTATGCCAGAGTTGTGTCCCCCCGTGGTGCAGGACAGCACTAGGCACTCACCAAACATTTGTTGCCTGGCCTGCTCTGGCCTCCCCTGGCTCTAGCGGCAACTGGGACCCTGGGCTGGGGCTGCAAGGAGGAAACAGGAGCAGCAGGGGCGCTGGGAGCCAATCCTGGGCCCAGTTCCCAGGACTCACAGCTGCATCCTCTTTGGGGGTGGGGGCCCAGCTGGCCCTGCCACCCCACCCGCTGGCGGTCAGGAGGCTCATTCCCACGGAAATTGAGGCTGGATCTTGGAGTCCCCAGGTGGCTCCAGGGCCCGTCCACCCAGCGAATGCCTCAAACCTCACCTTGAGAATGTATGAGCAACCCAGAACGATTGAGCTTCAACCCTGGGTCAGATTCAGCCCATCGGGGGGCACTGGAATCTGTATTTTTAAAGGGCTTCCTGGCGATTCTGATGTAAAGGGTTCTCCGGTCGGACTTTAAGAAACAAATTTCTACTTAAATTTCTCAGTTTACCCAGGTGGGTAAACTGAGTCCCATAAGGAGGAAGGGGCCTCTCCAGAACGGCACGGTTGATCTGTTTTTCTTTCTGACTCTTGAGTCTTCCGCTCTTTCCCAGGGTCTTTCTGTTTTTGCCTCTCGTCTCCTTCCTCCCCTTTCTATGGACTGGCCCCCGCACGCAGCGCCCCCAGTATCCGGCCCCTTTCGCGATTCCGGAGGAATCCCCAGTGCTGCCTGGCCCCGCCCAGGGCCCCGCCCCTCCGGCGGCGGTGACCTACTTCTATTGGCTTCTTCGTACGCCGCCCGCACTGCCATTGGCTAAGCCTATGTCCTTGGCCCATCCCCTCCTATCCGGCCACTTCGCTCCTTTTGGAGCGAGCGGAGGCAGGGCGGGGGCGGGGCCCCGACGATGGGCGGGGCGATGGGGGCGGGCAGGGCTACCCGCCCCGCCCCGCCCCGCGTGGTTATCAAGCGCGAGTTCCGCGGCGGGCTCATCGGCCCCTCGGAGGTGGCGGGACGGGATCCCTGCGGTCGGACCCACGACGGGCCCCGAAGAGCAGGTGAGAGAGCAATGCCCCCCATCTCGGCTCATTTCTGGGGCCACCTGGCCCCATGCCCCTGCAAACCCCTCTTCCCAGTCCGCCTGTATTTCTGCCTGAGTTCCCCTCTCCCTCTCTCTCTGACACTCTTTTGCTGTATGGGTTAGGGGAAGGCACAGTGGGTCTGAACTGACCCCACTGGCATGGGGCGGTGCTCTGGGACCAGCGAGCTCCCCAAACCCCCATGGGGACTCTGATGGACTCTGCCCCATTCACCGCGCTGGGCATCAGGTGTTAGGGCCAGATATCAGAGTCTGGAGGGCATTCCGGGTGGTGGGCAGCCAGGCCAACGGCGTGGAGGTGGAAATGAGTGTGGTTTCCACAGTGAGGCTGCTAGGAGAGCCAAGGTCAGGCCCACCTACACTGGCCACCTAGGAGCTCCCCAGTGGCCTGAAGCCTTGGCCTCAGTTTTTTCATCTGTGAACTGGGACTGTCACCCGCTGGGATAATTGGCAGGTGAGCTGACCCAGATCTGCCGGCTTCACTACCTCCTCTGTCCTGGGGGCCCTCCTGGAGGAGGGGCAGCCCCAGGTGTAAATAGGCCTCCTGGTTACCTCCTGAGTGTATCTGAGACCAGCTGAGGGAAGTGAAGGCCCTGAGGAGCTGCAGATGGGTGAGGGCAGTTCAGCAAGTGGTTAAGGAGTTCAGATCTTGGAATTTGACAAACCTGGGTTCCCACTCTGCCACTCACCATGGTACCTTGAACAGCTTATTTGATTCTCCCAGCCTCAGTTTCCTGTCTGTATAATGGGAGGAACATAACTCCCTGGGGGTAATTGCTGCTCTAGGATTAAATGCAGGAAATGTGGGTCCTGCATGTCTCCTGGCCCTCATCTCCCACTTTCCTTTTCACTAACTCTGTTTCAGCCACACCAGCCTCCACATTTACATGTGAGGCATGGTCTTGCCTCAGGGCCTTTGCACAGGCTGTTTCCACCACCATGTCAGGTCCACAATGTCAACATTAAAACATTGTAGTTGCCTAGATGGGTTGGGCCAAAGGACTGCCTGGCAAGGGCTGGGCAGCTGAGAGGGGTGGAGGAGGGGCCAATCCAGGGACGCTGTACCTATGGAAACAAGAACAAAGAGCTGTAACCCCAGCCACACAAACATCAAAGCTGTGCTTCTCCCACTTGGCAGGCCCTGAGGCCTGGGACGGTGGTAGGTGAGTGCGCAGTCCCCTGGGGGGCTTGAATCCCATTCTGATGTAGAGCAGTGCAGGGGGTTCCTAAAAGGAGAGAGTAGTCAGGCAGGTGCAGATTTTAAGCCCCATTGTGTCCCCTTCTGCTGTGTGGCCTTTGGTGTGTCTGAGGTCCCGAGCCTCAATTTCCTTTTCTGAGGCCTGGGCAGGTAAGGGGTCTTTTGGTTGCATTGAGGTCTGATGAGGTGGATTTAGGAGGCCTTAGTGTCTCTGTCAAATGGGGCCACAAGAGGGTGCCTAGGAAAAACTCTAGTTGTTGGCATGGAAACAGCCTCACTCAGAGGCAGATGCTGAATAATAACTCATCCTTGTCTGGGTTCAGCACCAGGTGTTATACGGAGAGGTGGGAGCCTAGACCTGGCAGGACTAGGCCCAGTTCCACAGTGTGCACACCTTCTTTGGGATCTCCTATACCCTTCCATGAGACAACCTTCCCTGGAACCCCACCCTCCTGAGCTTTCACGGAGAGACCTCAGGCTGAGTCTTTGAGATCTTCTAAGGCCTTGTCCTCCAGGCCTCAGTTTCCCCTTATGTCCAGTGGGGTGGTGGAGGTTGGGAGCATCTACCTGGGGGAGCCCCCCTGCAGAGTAGCTTGTACTCTGCTACAATGTAACCTTGGGATAACTCTGCCTGTCTCTGCATCGGTTTTCCTGGTTGAACAGTGGGGTCTATGAATGAGATCTGTATGACCCTCTGAGAGGTATTTTATTCATTCAACAAACAGATTCTCAGAACCTACTGTGAGCCAAGCTTGGCGGTTGGAAGAGATGTACTTTCAGCTGCAGAAATCATTACACTTAGCTGTAACTGCATGAAGCTAATGGAGAGTCAGATGGATGGAGAAGTTAGTTTAGATGGGGATTCTGAGAGAGCCTATGAGGAGGTGACATTTGATCTAAGCCTTGAATGACAAGAAAGAAACAGCCATGCAGAGACCTGGGGGAAGTGCATTCCAGGCAGAGGGTACAGACTGAGCAGTGGCCCTAGGGCAGGACCTTGCCTGATGTGTTGGAGGAACAGGGAGAAGGCCCTTGTGGTTGAGCAGAGTGAGTGAGGGGGAGAGGAGGAGGAGGTGAGGGCACGGAGGGGATGGGGAAGGTGGACCGTCCTGGAGGGATGTGAGTAAAGGAGGGATGGGACTTGACTTAGGTGCTCACTGGTGTCTTCTGGTGGCCGCTTCAGGGAGAACAGCAGGGGACCAGGGTTGAGGTCTTGGGTAGGTGAGAACTAGGTGGAGCCAGGACTCATTTAGGGGATGCATCCACATTCTTGCCATGAGACCCTGGAGCCTCCACTTGCTGTTAAGTGTCTTTTGCCCAACCTGAGCCCCAGCCTATCATGTGCTTCCCTGCATGGGTTTTGGCAGTGGTCTCCCACTGCAGCCTGGCAGGAGGCCAGACCCTGCCCTTTCTTAGGGTGGCCCTCCAGGGCCCTCCAGTTTGATAACCACTTGTGTCTCCCCAACCTCCGGCAAGCAGACTCCCCTCTCCCTCTGGCCATGTCTAAAACGGGCACTGACTGAGCAGTGTGAGTGATGGTTAATAAAGGGCTTCATAAAGGGCTTCATATAATGGGTGCCTGATGTGTGGGAACAGGGATTGTTGGGTCATTTGCCTGGGCCCCCTGAGGCCATCCTGGGCCATTGTAGCCAGGACAGAGCGAGGAGAGGAGTGGCTGGCTTGGACCTGCCGAGCGGGTCCATCAATTATTGATGTCCTTTGTGTGGGGTATGAAGAATTCATGTGCTGGGGCAGGCTGCCCGTGGACCAGTGGCATGCTGGAGCTGTTTCACCCCAGCTCACAAGAGCCACTTGCTGTATTTTCAGGAACTTTGCCACTTAATAATTTTGTCATTATGAAATATGACAGACTGTGAACTTACAGTTAAATACATTATATTTGAAACAAAGGTATGGAATATTATTCAGTCAAAAAAAGGAGCGAAGCTCTGACACTCGCTACAATGTGGATGAACCTTGAACACACGATGCTCAGTGACAGAAGCCAGACAGACACAAAGGCCACATGTGTGTGGTTCCATTTATATGAAATATCCAGAACAGGCAGATCTAGAGACAGGAAGTGGGTTAGTGGTTGTCGGGGGCTGGAACAGGGAAATGGGGAGTGACTCCCAGGAGCAGTGGGAGCTGGAGTGTCCAAAATGGGAATGGGGACAAAGGTTGGAGTCCAAAACATGAAACGGGGTTTGCAGAGGGTGAAAGTCTGAAGTGTGGTTTGGGCTCCAGTGTTCTGGGGAAAAATATGGGGGCAGGAGTTAGTTGACAGAGCCACTTGATGTCTAGACACCCATTTCACAGATGGGAAAGCTGCCCCTATGGGTATGGGGCTTGTCTGGAGCTTGTGGGAGGATACAGACAGTGGCCTTTGAGAGGTTATGAATGGGGCTGTGGCCTTCTGCTGTTCCTCTAACATGCCAGGCATGGTCCTGCCCTAGGGCCTTTGTACAGGCTGTTCCTTCTGCCCAGCTCAACCTTCCCCCAGACCTTGTCCCTTCAGTCCCAGCCCCAGGGGCTCCACCTCAGAACGGCCTTCCCAGCCACCCCAGCCCAAGTCACTGCCTGTTCCTGGCTGTCACTTCCCTCCCTGCCCCCATGGCCCTTATCTCTCCCTGAAATTATCCTGTTTATGTCCATGTTCATTGGTTTCTGGCACCTCCTTCCAATATGGGCGATATCTCCTAGGGGGCCGTTTTGGAAATTTGGAGGGTTTCTATTTTTCTGTTGCTGTTGTTTGCTTCTGATAATAGCAGGATGTTCTGGTGTTTGAGGGCAGGGACCAGGGACACTAGGTGTCCAGCCACACTCAGGGCAACCCTGGGCCTCCACCACTTCCCAATGTCTTGCCAAAAACGTAAGCCGATGAGTGGGCTTTTTTGTTTGTTTTTGTTGCACCATTTTAACATTCAGTGACTATTCCTGGGTACACTGAGAGGAGATGGAACTCTTATGATAGGCATTTATAGCTGTATGTTCACCATAGGAGTGAACCTCTGATAGATTCTCTCCATCCCCAAATGCAGTGAGCTTGAGCTTTTAAGGAGGGAAATTCTTTTTAATCAAACGTGTATCACCCTGGCCGAGTACGTCAGTAGGTTAGAACGTTGTCCTGATGCGCCAGGGTTTCAGGTTCAATTCCCGGTCAGGGCACATAGGAGAATCAACCAATGAATGTGTACATAAGTGGATGTTTCTCTTTCTTTCTCTCCACACCCCCCACTTCCTCTCCCTTCCTCTTTCTCTAAAATCAGTGAAAAACAACAATACGTCTTGAGTACCTACTGAGTGCCTTATATGGAAGTGATTTATAACTCTTAACTTGTGGAATTATTTTATTTTCTGTTTGTATTATAATTTGGACCAAGTCCTGTTTAAAATTTTTTAAAATTCATTTAACATTATAAAAACGAGGTATAAAATATATATAGTAAGGGCACAGAGGCATAAGTATATACACTTAATATTAGTAGTAAATGTTCTGCTTTGTGAGATATAAACTCACCATTTTAAAGTATCCAAATTCCATAACTTTCCACCACTCCAAAAAAGAAGCCCTGTTCCCTTTAGCAGTGATTCCTTATCCCCCTCCCCCACCCCTGGCAACCCGTTTCCTGTCTCTCTGGGCCTGCCTGTTCTGGACATTTCACATCAATGGACTCGCACACTGTGTGGCTTTTTGTGTCTGGCTTCTCTCACTGAGCTTCATGTGTTCAAGGTCCATCAGCATTGTAGCAAGTGTGAGAGCTTTGCTCCTCTTCATGGCTGAGTGATAGTCCAGTGTTTGAACCACATTTCGTTTATTCATCTGTTGATGGCCATTGGGGTTGTTTCCACTTTTTGGCCCCATGAATTGTGTTGCTATGAACATGTGTGTACAAGTTGTTGTTTTTTTAAGTGAATTTCCTCCACAATTTTATTTATTTTCTTTTTAATTTTTTTTCTTGATTTTAGAGAGAGAGGAAGGGAGAGAGAGAGAGATAGAAACATCGATGAGAGAGAATATCGATCAGCCGCCTCCTGCATGCCCCCCACTGGGGATCGGGCCCACAACCTGGGCATGTGCCCTGACTGGGAATCGAACTGGCGACCTCTTGGTGCATGGATCAACGCTCAACCACTGAGCCACACTGGCCTGGCTGTGTGTACAAGTTTTTGTGTGGATGTGTCTTTTTGATAAGAGCCATCCTAGTGGGGGTGAGAGGATATGTCATGATTTTGACTTGCATTTTATTAGTGGCCGGTGATGAGGACCATGTTTTCAGATGCTTATTGGCCATTTGTATATCTTCTTTGGAGAAATGTTAGATATTCTTTTAAAAAAAAATGTTTCTATTGACTTTATAGAGAAAAGAAGGAAATGGGAGAGAGAGAGAGAAACATTGATGAGACAGAAATATTAATCAGCTACCTCCTGCATGCCCCCTACAGGGGGTTGAGCCCACAACCTGTACCCTGATTGGGAATCGAACCAGCAACCTCTTGGTGCATGGGACAATGCTCAATCCATTGACCCACACTGTCCAGGCTAGATATTCTTTTATTTATCTAGATACAATTTACCTTTTAGAGTGTTCACTTTGCTGGTTTTTAGTGTATTCACAGAGATGTGCAAACATCTTACTCAGTGATGGTTTATATTCGTATGGCCCCAGATTAAACAGAACACGGGACATTCCAGAACTTGTCCCCTTAATCCCCTCAAATAGTGGCCTTTATCACCATCTATTAATTTTACTTTTAAACTGTGGGTAAAGCCTGCTGATTTCATTTCAGGGTCGTACTGGAGCACCCAAATTATTTTGTAATAAGGAGTTGGCATGGGGTTTAGAGGGTGGGGACTGGATCTCTTTTGGTCATTGGTATATTCCCAGTGCCTGGTACACAGTTGGTGCTCCATAAATGCTCACTGAGCAACTGAATGAATATCCTGGTAGAGCCTCTAAAGCTTTTGTGGGCTTTCTTTGCCTTGTAACGATAGTGGGCTTCTGGCCTTCGGTGGGCAGAGGCTGGGCACACTAGCCATCTGGCCCCTGAACCTCTGGGCAGTTCCTGAGAAGGCCCTGACCCAGAAGGGCTGGCGTGGCGAAGCCTGGCCATCTCCTGGCTTGTTCTCCCTCAGACCTGGGTGAGCACAGCAGGCAGGAAGGAAGGGTTTATTTTGGTCCACGACGTGCTCCCCTGAGAGAGCAGTCATCTCTCTGGCTGTTTGAATGGGGATGTTTCTGATAGAACAATGGGTCAGCAGTGGGGGAGGGTCATGCAGCTGGGTTGCCCAGGTGTGGCAGGTCTGGGGACTGGCAGGAGGGGCTAGGAGTGTGGAGGCTGGGAAAGGAGGCTGCAGCTGCCTCCACTCCCACCCTTCTTCCTTTGGGCTTGGAGAGGGGGATGCTGCTGGGGGCTCAGGCTCTTTCTTTCTTTTTCTTTTTTTTAAATCCTAACCCGAGGATATTTTTTCCATTTATCTTCAGATAGAATCGGAGGGAGAGAAACAGACAGAGAGACAGAGAGACACAAACTTCGATGTGACAGAGACACATCAACTGGCTGCCTCCCACACAACCCTGACCAGGGCTGGGGACTGAACCGCAGCTGAGGTACGTGCCGTTGACGAGAATAGAACTCGTGACTCTTTGGTCTGCGGGCCAGTGCTCTAACTGCTGAGCACCAGCCCAGGCTCAGGCCCTTTCTAAAGACTGTAAATAGGCCCTGGCCAGTTTTGCTCAGTGGTTAGAGCGTCGGCCCGCAGGCCGGAGAGTCCTGGGTTTGGTTCCCGCTAAGGGTACGTATCTTGGTTGCAGTTTGTCCCCACCAAGGTTGGGGTCATGTGGGTGGCAGATACTCAGTGTGTCTTTCTCACATTGATGTTTTTCTCTCTCTCTTCCTCCTTCTTTCCCTCCTGCTCTATCTAAAGATAAATGCGAAAAAAGTCCTCGACGCCTGGCCAGTGTGGCTCAGTGGTTGAGCATCGACCCATGTACCAAGAGGTCACCAGTTCAATTCCCGGTCAGGGCACATGCCCAGGTTATGGGCCAAATCCCCAGTGGGGGGGGCATGTAGGAGGCAGCCAGTCGATGTTCTCTCCCATCAATGTTTCCATCTCTCTCTACCTCTTCCTTCCTCTCTCTGTAAAAATCAATAAAAAGAAAAAAAAAAAAAGACTGTAAATAGGCCCAACTCCCCTCTAGAACCAGCACACCCAACCTCAGGACCTGCAGATGGGAAGGTCAAGGCCCAGAGAGGGTCAGAGCCCTGCCTGAGCTCACCCAGCAACCAAAATAGGCAGAAGGCACTAGCTCCATGGCCTTCGAGTCCAGAGGCCTGAGCTTCATTCCTGAACTCGAAGAAAGTTCCTCTCTGAACTTGAGTTTACTCATCTGTAAACTGGGGAGATTAGACCCAGAGCCTAGGGAGTACCTTCTCATTTCCAAGGTTTGCAGAAATCCTTTCCCCTATTCATTCAACAAACATGGGCCACCTGCTCTGTGCCAGGCCCTGGGCTGGCCCCTGGAGATGCGGTGTGAACAAGGGAGACACAGCCTGTGTGTGTGCCATCGGGCCCGGGAGATGGACATGGAAACCAAGGTGTTCAGGGCCACAGTGAAGACCACCCAGGGTGTCATGGGAGCCAAGGGGCACCTGGCCCAGCCTGGGACATCTGGGAAGGCTTCCAGGAGTAGGTGACAGTGACACTGAGACTTGAAGGATGAGCAGTTTATCGGATGAGTAATGAGAGGAGGGGTCCAGGTAAAGGGAATGGAATAGAATGTTCTAGAAAAACTGGCGGGAGGGCATCCAGGAGACAGACTCATACCAAGTGGCAAGCCTGCTGCTGCTGCTCACAGAGGCCTTCACGGCCAGGTTGCTGGATGGCTTAGAGCCGGAAGGCAGAAGCCCAGGCGGTGGCATCCAGCCTTTTGCCCAGGGGACAGTCACAGCCTGGTGGGCATTGGGGTTGGCTGTGAGCTTCTGCCCCAGGGCAGAGTTAGTTCTGATTGTCCTCATTTTATAAATGGGGAAACTTGAGGCACCAGGCAGTTTTGTTTCTTGACCTAGCAGTCAGAGCCAGGAGCAGGCCCTAACTAAACGCTGGGGCTGGCTTTGTCATGGGGGACAGCTCCCGACCCTCCAAGACTCAGGAGACTTGCAGGTATCAGCTGGGAAAGGGGGGGGGGGGGTTAGACGCGTGGCGGCATGTGGGAACACTGTTCCTGTGTGGCCTTGGGGAAGTTGTCCAGCCTCTGTTTTCTTTTGCAAACAGCACCTGCCCAGTACCTAGTGGAAATGACAAAGTGGGCACGTGCTGCCAGCTCAGGTCCTGCACACGGTGCTGAGTCAGTGGTACCCCAGCTCTGGCCCCTGCCTGTGTAACCCTGAGGTCTGGGGACTGGTGTGGGGGGCAGGGAAGGCCGCTCCAGTGATCCCTGTGCCCGCCCTAACCTCTGAGAGGGCGGTTGAGGGTTGGGACTTCTCCCAGGGTCTGAGCTCCCACAAAGACAGGCTTTGTAGGAGCCCCTGGGTGTGTGTGGGCACCCACATGGCATTCCTGGTCTGGCCAGCCTGGAGCTAGGATGGGGGTGGATTCTGACCAGGGCCTGGGACAGCTGGGAAGGGCTGGGGTGGGTCTCAGGCTCCTCTCACTCATTGGGCAGGTGTTTCTGGAGTCTCCGAGGACACAGCGGGTAAGGAATCAGGCCCATTGCCTCCACTGTGGCCTGGAGTGAGGGGACCAGTGGGGAAGCCAAGCCAGGGGAGCTGAGCAGTGATGGGGGGATGTCTGAGCAGTGATGGGGGGGTGCCTGAGCATGATGGGGGTGCCTGAGGTACTGTGTGGCCCAGAGGAGGTGCCTCACCATCGGTTAGACTGCTCAGGGATGGCTTTCTGGAGGAGGTGGTATCGAGGCTGAGCTGAGATGTGAATCTAAAAGGGGAGGAAGCAGGGACCAGGGCCTGGTGGATGTATAGGAAGGAGGAAAGGGCTTGGGAAAACAGTGGAAGCAAACAAAGGGGGCTGCCCAGACAAGCCCCTTGTGGCCCAGGGGCGGTGGGAACTGATTCTGGGTCTGTCTTTCCCCTGGGCAGGGCTGATGGACACCTTCAGCACCAAGAGTCTGGCACTGCAGGCCCAGAAGAAGTTCCTAAGCAAGGTGGCGTCCAAGGCGACAGTGGCCGTGTTCATCGACGACACAAGCAGTGAGGTACTAGATGAGCTATACCGCGCCACCAAGGAGTTCACACGCAGCCGCAAAGAGGCTCAGAAGGTGTTCAAGAACCTGGTCAAGGTGGCCGTGAAGCTGGGCGTCCTGCTCCGGAGTGGCCAGCTGGGCGGGGAGGAGCTGGCGCTCCTGCAGCGCTTCCGCCAGAGGGCGCGCCGCCTGGCCATGACAGCTGTCAGCTTCCACCAGGTGGACTTCACCTTTGACAGGCGTGTGCTGGCCACCGCTCTGCTCGAGTGCCGGGACCTGCTGCACCAGGCTGTGGGCCCGCACCTGACCGCCAAGTCCCATGGGCGCATCAACTATGTCTTCAGCCACTTTGCCAACTGCGACTTCCTGGCCGTGCTCTACAGTCCAGCTGAGCCCTATTGCACCCACCTGCGCCGGGTCTGCGAGGGGCTCACCAGGATGCTGGACGAGGACAGCATATAACCCGTCTTCGGTTTTCCTGCTGGGGGTTGGGGATTTATGGGTTTACTTTTTTTATGACTTCTTTTATCCCATCTGATTCTAGCCAAACTCCCCAGACAGATGACCCATCCCCTTTCAGGGGATGCTAAGCAGTTGAAAGCAGCCGTTTATGGACCCGTGTTACCTCCCCCACCTCATCTCGCTGGGAGAGGAATTCAGCACAGAAACGGGCACAGCCTGTGTGGCCAGTGGCCTCCCCGTGCACCTCCAGACCTCTCCCTGCTCTAGTCCACCTGTCCTGAACCACGATCAGTGAACGGCACCTCTCAAATCACTGGATGTCATCTGAAAGCTGGTGATGCCCACTTAACGTTGTAACCTGGGCTTTTTAATTCCTTCAGATAGGAATCGTACTGAACTGGAAGAAAGTTATGGGGTGAGCATTATCTCCCCACCCCAAATTCTTTGAAGTCCTAACTCCCAGGACTTCTGAGTGTGCCCAAAATTGGGAAATAGGGACATTGCTGACATAGTTAAGATGAGATCACAGTGGAGCATGGTGGGCCCCTAACCCAATATGAGGGGTGCTTCTAAAGGGAGAGCTTTGGACACAGGAGAATGCCATGTGAAGGGAGAGGCAGACATCGGGGGGCTGTGCTACAAACCAAGAAACACCAAGGATTGCCAGCAACCCCAGCAGCAGGGAGAGAGGCCTGGAACAGCCTTCTGTAGGAACCAGCCTGGCTAACCCTCGATCTGACTTCTGGCCTCTACACAGCTGACAAAACAAGTCTCGTCTCTTAGCCACCCGGCCCAGGGACTGAGCACAGGGAGCCGTGAAGAGGGTTGCAGTGGGTACTGGTGTATGGGTAGGACACCTTGGTTTGGAATCCTAGCTCTGACTCCCAGGGGGGAGGGAACAGAGTGCACCCCCTTACAGGGTGCAAGGGTAAAGCCATCTGAGATTGGTGAACCTTTTTTAATGATCATTTCATGTTTGGAAAACAAACATACCAACAAACCTTTTTCAGACTTCAGAAAGCAAACTCAACAAATCTTTGCTTTGGGGACACCCAAAAGATGGTGATTCTCAACTTGGGGCATGGGTGGATATGTGCGGTGTGGGAGTGCATTTGCAGATTTTGTCAGAAGGGGGCATGGGTTGTAAAACAGGGCTATAGGTCCTGCCACGTCAGGGTCAGGAAGGTTATTGCAGGTGCCCGAGGGGGAACGATGTCCCGTGTCTGTTTTACAGAACTGTGTCTAGTTTGTTCAGGGCAAAGGTTGCAAACAGGAAGCCTATAGGCCTTGCTCGGCCAGATGTGTTTGCTTGCCCCCACCCAGTGCTTGAGCCTTCTGGAATCAGTTGACAACATTTAAAACTGAGGAATTGCACGTGCCAATCTAGATTTGGAGTTTCTCTCAAACATTTTGCTAAGCCTGCATTGCCTGCTGGTGAAGCTGCATAGAGGTGGCCCATCTCTGCTTTGCCACAGTCCCCACCATTCCCTTTTGCATCTCCCTGGCCTATTGCGCTGGCTGATAAGATTATGACCCCAGATTGGGGTCAGCCTTTCTGTGGTTTGGTTTCTGCTTCCTTGAAGAGACCAAAGCCTTTCACCTGAGAGCCAGCTGTTCCTACCTCCTACTCATGGTTCTTAGGCCAACTTTCCCTCTTACCTCTCCAGTCAAGAGATAATCTTCATATTCAAGAGCAAACGTGCATTTTGAGTATCCCGAGAAGCCCCAGATGAAATCCTCTGCCCTTGGCTCTGCTGACTGAAGTTATCAATATGCATAATGATTGTACTTGTTTCTTGCAGGGCTGTTCTGCCTCTTGACTCTTCATACATTTGAGATTTAATTTTGAAAAACCAAAGAGCACTGCAGAACAATTTAAATAAAAGCACATGTCTTCCATTGGCATTATGTGAAACTGGCTTGAATTGCTTGGTGCTGAGTTTTCTCCTCTCTTGGGGTTTTCGCCTTTTAAAAAACAATTAAAAAACATTTGAGCCCTGCATGGCTCAGTTGGTTGGGGTGTGCACCAAAGGGTTGCGAGTTCGATTACCCATCAGGGCACGTGCCTGGGCTATAGGTTTGGTTCTGGTCAGGGCACAAGTGGGAGGCACAGATCAATGTTTCTCTTTCACTTCTCTCTCTCTCTCTCTCTCTTCCCCTCTCTCTCTCTCCCTCCCTCTCCTCCCCTTCCCCCCTAAAATCAATAGGCATGTCTTTGGGTGAGGATTGGAAGGGGAAAAAAATCTTTAAAAAAATTTTTTTCAATTACAGTTGACATACAATATTATATTAGTTTCAGGTGTACTGCATAGTGGTTAGATATTTATGTAACTTATGGAGTAATTACTCTGATAAATCTAGTACTCAACTGGCACTATATACAATTACAATATTATGACTATATTCCCCATATTTTATATCCCTGTGGCTACTGTAACTGCCAATTTGTATTCTTAATCTCTTCACCTTTTTCACCTGGCCTCCCACCCCCTCCCATCTGGCGGCCATCAGTTTGTTCTCTGTATCTATGACTTTACTCGTTTTTTTAGATTCCACATATAAGTGAAATCATAATGGTATTTGTCTTTCTCTGTGTGACTTATTTCACTTAGCATAATACCCTCTAGCTCCATTCATGTTGTTGTAAATAGTAAGATTTCATTCTCTTTTTTTTTTTTTTTATTGATTTTTTTTTTTTTTTTTAGAGAGAGAGGAAGGAAGAGATAGAAACATTGATGTGCGAGAGAAACATTGATCAGCTGCCTCCTGCATGCCCCGCACTGTGGATCAAGCCCGCAACCCTGACCAAGAATCAAACCAGGACCTCTCAGTCCATGGGACGATGCCCCATCCACTAAGCCACACCAGCCGGGCAGATTTCTTTTATTTTTTATGGCTGAGTAATACTCCATTGTATATATCTATCACATCCTTATCCATTTGTCTATCAATGGACATTTACGCTGCTTCCATATTTTGGCTACTGTAAATAATGCTGCAGTGAACATAGGGCTGCATGTATCTTTTTGAATTAGTGTTTTTGTTTTCTTTGGATAAATACCCAGAATTTCAATTGCTGGACTGTGACTGCTCTATTTTTAATCTTTTGAGGAACCTCCATACCGTTTTCCATAGTGACTGTACCAATTTTCAATCCCAACATTGCACAAGGGTTCCCTTCTCTACACATCCTCGCCGACACTTGTTGATTTATTAATGATAGCCATTCTAACAGGTATGAGATGAGATCTCATTGTAGTTTTGATTTACATTTCCCTGATGATTAGTGATGGTGAGCATCTTTTCATATATCTGTTGGCCATCCATATGTCCTCTTTGGAGAAATGTCTGTTTAGGTCCTCTGCCCATTTTTAAATTAGATTGGGTTTTTTGTTGTTATTGTATGAGTTCTAGGTTTGTATTATTGTGATTGATGATTTCAATCTTAAATTTACTGAAGCTTGTTTGGTGGCCTGATGTGGTCTATCCTAAAAAAATGTTCATGCCCTGGCCAGATTGGCTCAGTAGTTAGAGTTGGCCCGCAGACCAATGAGTCGCAGGTTTGATTCCAGTCAAGGGCACGTACCTCAGTTGTGATTCGTCCCCGGCCCTGGTTGGGGTTGTGCGGGAGGCAGCCACTCGATGTGTCCCTTTCACATCGATGTTTCTCTATCTGAACAAAAAGTGGAAAAATGTCCTCGGGTGAGGATAAAAAAAATAAAAAATAAAATAGCCCTGGCCAGTTTGGCTCAGTGGTTAGAGCATCTACCTGCAGACCAGAGAGTCTGGGTTTCATTCCCACTAAGGGCAGGCACCTCAGTTGTGGTTTGTCCCCGGGCCCAGTTGGAGTCGTGTGGGTGGCAACCAGTCAATGTGTCTCTCTTGCATTGCTGTTTTTCTCTCTTCCTCACTCTCTCCCTGCTGCTCTAGCTGAAGATAAATGCAAAAATGTCCTCAGGTGGGGATTAAAATAATAATAATAATAATAATAATAATAATAATAATAAATAAATAGCCTTGGCCGGTATGGCTCAGCAGTTAGAGCATCAGCCTGCAGACCAGAGTCCCAGGTTTGATTCCAGCCTAGGGCACATATCTTGGTTGTGGTTCGTTCTTGGTCCTGGTTGGGGTCATGTGGGAGGCAGCCACTCGATGTATCCTTTTCATGTCAATGTTTCTCTCTCTTCCTCTCTCCCTCCCACTCTATCTGAACTTAAATGGAAAAATGTCTTTGGGTGAAAATAAATAAATAAATAAAATAAAATAACTATTGATAGGTACATAGTTACTGCCATTTTATTCTTTTCTGATTGTTTTTGTAGTTTTTCTCCGTTCCTTTTTATTCTTTTGCTCTCTTCTCTGTTGATGACTTTCCATAGTGTTGTGTTTGGATTCCTCTCCCTCTGTTTTTAATCCTCATACAAGGATATTTCTTCATTGATTTTTAGATAGAGTGGAAGGGAGGGAGGGAGGAGAGAGAGAAATAAATATCAATGTGAAAGAGACACATCAATAGGTTGCCTCCTGCACAGTCCCAATCAGAACCAGGGATCGAACCTGCAACCCAGGTATGTGCCCTTGATTGGGAATTGAACCCAAGACCCTTCAGTCCAAGGGCCAACACTCTTAACTGCTGAGTCAAACTGGCCAAGGCTGGATTCCTTTCTCTCTATTTCCTATATCTGTCTTGTAGATTTTTGATCTGTGGTTGCCATGTGCTTCATACGTAGCAAGCTATGTTTACCGAGTCTATTCTATGTTTGAACACATTCTAAAATCACTACAATTTTTACTCAACCACCCACATTTATATTTTTGTTGTGTGTGTGTGTATCCCTTAATTTATTGCAATTACACCTAATCCTACTTTTTTTATCCTTACCCGAGGACATTTTTTGTTCAGATAGAGCGGGAGGGAGAGAGAGAGAGAGAGAGAAACATCGATGTGAAAGGTACACATCGAGTGGCTGCCACCCGCACGACCCAACCAGAGCCGGGGACAAACTGCAACTGAGGTACACGCTCTTAGTGGGAACCGAACCCGGGTCTCTCTGGACTGCAGGCCGACGCTCCAACCTCTGAGCCAAATTGGCCGGGGCCTTAATCCTGCTATTGTCTTTTAATCTTTGTACTTGCTATATAATTGGCTGCCCCTTTGCTTTTACTATTTGGCTTTATCAGTGAGATATTTTTCTTTCCTATATTTTCTTATTTATATATTTTCCTTTCTACTTAAGCAAGACCTTTTAACATTTCTTGTAATATTGGTTTGGTGGTGATGAACTTTAGCTTTTTCTTGTCTGGGAAGTTCTTTATCTGTCCTTCAATTCAGCTTGGTTTAGGTTCTTGCTTTTTATCACTTTGAATATTTGGTTTTGTTTTTTAATCCTCACCCAAAGATACTTTTCTATTTATCTTCAGATAGGGGGGGCGGGGAACATCGACGATGAGAGAGACACATTGACTGGTTGCTTTCTGCACGACCCTGACCAGGGCCAGGGACGAAGCACAACTAAGGTACATGCCCTTGGCCAGAATTGAACTGGCGACTCATTGGTCTGTGGGCCCATGCTCTACCATTGACCCAAACCAACCAGGGCTTTGAATATTTTGTGCCAATCCCTTCTGGCCTGCAAAGTTGCTGTTGAGAAACTAGCTGGCAGTCTTATGGGTGCCCCCTTGTAGGTAACTGTTTTAAGATTGTCTTTAACCTTTGGAATTTTAATTATTATGTATCTTGGTGAGGGCCTCTTTGTTTGAGACTCTGCTTCCTGGAATTGTATGTTTGTTTCCTTCGCCAAAGCAGGGGTTTTCCTTCGTTTCTTCATAGGTTTTCAATCCCTTGCTCTCTTCTTCTTCTGTACCTCTATGATGCGAGTGTTGGTATGCTTGATGTTGCCCAGAGGTCCCTCAAACTACCCTCACTTAAAAAAATTCTTTTCTCCCTGGCCAGTTTGGCTCAGTGGTTGCGTATTGGCCTGTGGACCAGAGAGTCCCGGGTTCGGTTCCCACTAGGGGCACATGCAACAAAAAAAAAAAATTAAAAATTAAAAAAATCTTAAAAAAAAAAAAAAAAGCAGCCCTGGCCGGTTTGGCTCAGCGGTTAGAGCATCCACCTGCAGTCCAGAGAGACCCGGGTTCAGTTCCCGCTAAGGGCATGTACCTCGGTTGCAGTTTGTCCCCGGCCCTGGTTGGTCGTTGGGTGGCAGCCACTCAATGTGTCCCTTTCACATCGATGTTTCCCTCTCTCTCTCTCTTCTGCTCTCTCCCTCCCACTCTATCTGTGCAAAAAATAGAAAAATGTCCTCGGGTGAGGATTAAAAAAAAAAAAAAAATTCTTTTCTCACCTTGACTTGTGTTGCTCAATGGTTAGAGCGTCCGCCCATACACTGAAGGGTCACGGGTTTGATTCCTGGTCAAGGACACATACCTGGGTGCAAGTTTGATCCCCAGCCTTGGTTGGGGTGTGTGCAGGAGGCAGCCAATTAACATGTCTCTCTCTCCCTCCCCTTCTCATCTATTCTCTCTAAAAATCAATGGAGAAAAATTCTCAGGAGAGAATTAACAAAAAAATAAAATTATTTTCTCTTTTTGCTATTCCAATTGAGTATTTTCAACTTCCTTGTCTTCCAAATTGCTGGTTTGATCCTCTGCTTCATCTAATCTGCTATTGATTCCCTCTAGTGCAGCAATTTTTAACCTTTTTATCTCATGGCACATGTAAACTAATTACTAAAATTCTGTAGCACACCGAAAAATGTATTTTTTGCCAATATGACGAAGAAAAAAAAGGTAT